CGTCGGCATAGCTGGTGGGTCAGCCCCGCGGTGGCCTCCTTTCTGCCAGCAGCTCTGGAGGGGGCCCTGCGCCGTGTGTCCGCCCAGCCCGATAACTCCTCCGACAGCGACTACGACCTGCACGGGGCTCAGCGGCTGTGACAGGTGAGGCCGCCGCACCCGGGAGCCCCCCCTGGGACAAGCAGAGCGCTGGCTCCTGCCTCCTGCCCGCCCATTGGGGGCGCTCCACGGCCTTGACTCGCGTCAAGGGAAAGAACGAGCATCGAGGGTGTGGGTGGGGGAGCTGATCCGCAGTCAGAGCGGGGGACTCGCCCACCTCGACACCCTCCCTCCCTCCGTCCAGGAGCCCCCGGAAGAGCCTCGGGGGCTGCCTGATGGGCTTAGCCCTCCAGGGCTGCCTGACAGGGGTCCGCCCCGACCCTGGTGCTGAACCGGCTCCAGGGGGGAGGTCCCGCCTCTGACCGTCCTTCTCACCCACAGACCAGGGACCGGGAGGGAGCCAGCTGGGCCCTGAGAGCGCCTGCCTGCCGCTTGGAAACACGGCCCGACTCCTGCTCTTCGGGCCATGGCCGAGGGCGGGCCTCCCCACACCCAGCCCTGCCCTCCCACAGGAGCCGCAGCGAAGCCCACAGAACAGCTGGCTGCCTGCGTGGCAGCTGGGAGGGCAGAGCCCGAAGACAAGCAGCCCCTCCAAGCAGAGACAGGGGCGGGTGTGGGAACCCCGCCTCGTCTGTGGGGAGCTCTCTCCTCACGCGGGGGCCCAGGGAGGACTGACGGAAGCGCACACGGGGCAGGGGTGGGAGCCGAGGTCTCTCGTGTATTTAATATGTTCTTTGTAAATAACGGCTTTCCTGCTTCCTGAGGATTGAGCGCCTGGCTCCTCGGTCCAGAGTTCTCTCCGTCCCCCAGCCTCGGTCAGGAGGGTGCCAATCGCCAGGGAGCGCTCCTGGCGGCTCCTCGGCCCTAAAGGATGCCGGCAGCCTCGGCAGGTGACCTGGTGCCTCTGAGTCCTCTCCTGCCTCGCAGCCACTGCCCGACAGAGCAGGGCGCCTCAGCCAGAGGGGGCAGCGCGCCCCGTCTCCCCTAAACCGCGCTTCCACCTGACCCCAGAGGCAGGTGCGCGTGCACCTGATTCTAGCACTTTCTCCTTGTGTGAAGTCAGGGAAACCGAGGACCCGGAAGGACAGCCCTGAGTCCCCAGCAAGTCTGGCTTCACGCGGTCAGGCCTCGGGGCTGGGCGTGCCGGCTGGGAGGGACCCCACAGCCACGGAACCGGTGGCCTCGCGCCAGCTCGCTCAGCCGCGGCCTTGCTCACTCAGCTGGGAGCCCCTCCGAGGCTCTGAACTTGACCCTTAGGGTCCCTCCCGCAGCCCACTCCATGGCCAGAGGCCGGAGGCCACAGGAGGCCCTGGGTGGTCTGGCGGAGGACACCGTGGTTCCCGTGGTGCGTGCGGGTGGGGAGGGGGCTACAGAGAGCTAGGCCCCGGGGGTGGGCGGCCGGGAGGAGAGTAAGGGCAGC